CATATACTGAGTAGGTCTGCGTCACTATAGAGACTATTTTTGGTTGAAATAGCTATTGCTTTCACTTTGTTAGAGTAGGTGAAAATAGAAAACTTATTTTAACTATGATTTGTGCATGTAGCCTACGAGCTACTGAGCATTTTATATGACAAGAGTTTTTATTGTTTTGCATAAAACTTGCCTTTGATTTTCATCCAATCTCTGTATCTGTCCTAGGCCTCTGAACTCAAATACTTCATAATATTCAGATGTGACATGGATTATGGTAATAAACAAAATAAAGCTTTTCCAACTTCTTTCGAGCCATTAGATTATGATCTAATGGATTATGATCACATATAACATTTGGGTGAGTTAAATGAGTTGATAAACTCCCAAAGAATACTAAGTAGAATCTGGGTAATCTAGGAGACACTCAGGACACAAATTCAATGAAGAAGGTTCAGTAATCTCTGGGTAAATAGGAGGCTATGGTCTCATTCCTTCCTGCAATAAAAATTGTAGGGAATGCAACCCTTAACAGAAGACGAGATCAGTGTTTATACACCTTCACCCTGAGCGCACATCAATGGAACAGGGCAGGTAGAACTCAGGCAGAAAATCTGAGTCTTACTGACCTGAGGAGTCAGACAATGTAGTTTGGGCTATCAGGGTGGCTGGAAATCAAGCTGGGAAATCCTGAAAGCAGCAATTACAGAGAGAGCAACCCTAAAATGTGAGTGTAAAATCGCCTCAGATCTTAGGCTGCAAGCAGGACAAGAACTCCATTGATTCCAGGGCAAATCAACTGCTGGAGAGATGAATGTGCTGAACAGATATTTCAGCAGCTGCCCATCCAGCGGTCTCCTGAGTTCAAAGTGCAAGCCCTGCCAGGATAGTGATGTGGCAAATGCTTTAGGCTTTCCATTAAAACTTAAGAAGGGCCAATCCTTAGAAATAAGGGCCATATACCAAGGTATCTGCCATCAAACTAAGGACAAAACCAAAACAGATCCAGCTAACAAAGCCTACAGTCAAACCTCCAAAAGTTCAAGATGCTCTGTCAGTCATTTAACTGCCTCTTAGTCAACACTCAACACTCTTCAGAGGGAGATAACAGAATCCAGCACCTCTAATAGGTATCATTATACAAAAAAAAAAAAAAATTACTAGACAGGGAAAGAACAGGAAAATGTGACCTGCAGTCAATAGAAAAAAAAAAATCAGCCAATAGAAACACATTGATTACCTCAATGTTGGAACTAGCAAAGACTTAAAAACAACTAGGTAAGTATATTAAACAATCTGCAATAAAAGATGATTAAAACAGGTAAAGAAATGGAGACTTTCAGCAGAGACATGAAAACCATGAAAAAAGAACCAAGGGGACCTCCTAGAATTGGAAAACTCCTATATCTAAATTTTAAAAGTTATTGGATAAAATTAACATCAGGTTGAATATATAAGAAGAAAAACATTGTGGGCTTGAAAACAAGTTGAACGGAAGCATCTAGTCTGAAGCACAGAGAAAAATTACTAGGGAAAAAAAAAAGCCACCATGGCCTCTTGGGACAGTATCAAGCAGTCAACACACATGTAATTGGAGTACTGGAAAGAGAAGAGTGAGACCAGTGCAGAAAAACATATATGATGGACTGAAAGAATAAACCACAATAGGCACATCAGATCAAACTGCTGAAAACCAGAACCAAAAAATTCTTAAAAGCAGCCAGAGAAAAGGGGCATATTGTATACAAGGGAACAAAAGTAAGAATGAAAACTAACAATGTCACAAAGAATAGAAGGGGATTTAAATGGAATTATAATCAGTGAGGGATATGCACCCCTAATTTTTTACATGGTAATACCTGAGCGAACCCAGGCTTCTGACTCCTGAGCAATCTCTCTTAACCACTGTGCAATGCTGCTGCTTGTCTAGTAAACATTTTTGTTACTATTTGATTACTCACAAAGTTGCAATAATGACAATAATGTACAGCATCATTATCATTTTAATCAAATCATGATTGGACTGAGGAATCCATGAGAGTCCAAAGGCCTGTCCTAATCATTTCTAAACTGCCAGAGTTAGGTCCTGCCACATAATCTGCTGTGCCTTGTGGCTTGTGACCCTGCTAACTGGCCACAGCTGACTGTACTATGGATCTATGCTTTAGCTAAGGGCAGCCATCCTTTAGTGGGCAAAAGCGAGGCCAGAATAACCCAGTAATCTGTGCCCAGTCATGGAACTCTCTTTTGGATTATAACTGGTAGAATCAATCAGACCTCTTTCAGAGACAGTAGAAGTAGCAGAGAGACAAATGTGCAGAGAGATGCTGGAAAATACATGAATAAGAGTATGCATATTGTGACTACATAGCAATGGACATTCATTTCAAGATGAAGACACAACCCAGCCATCCACGCTGCTGTGTTCACTACATCACTAAGATCCATTTTTTCAGCTTCCCAAGAAGCCATGCCTCTGATGAGACAGTCACTTTATTGTCCTCTGTATTCTTAAAATAAGCCTCCAGCATTTAAGATAAAGTGACTTCGTTCCTTGCAACCTCAAGGAGGCTGTCCAAAGTTATCTAAAAAAAAAAATAATAAAATCCAGACCTGCAATATACAGCACATTAAATCAAACAGTTCAGGCATAAAAAACACCTCATAGAAAGAGGTTATACAGCCAGAGGTACCGGCATTAACTTTCATACAGGGAATTTTTTAAATGTGCTATGAAAATTACTACATAGTTGTTCAAAAGGTAGATGAAAATGTGAAGTTAAGCACCCCCAGAATCCTCTCAATGCCATTTAAAAAGTAAGCATTCTTCCAACTATAATTTAATTCAAGAATCAAAGATAAATTGGGAAGGCATTAATAATTCTGCATATTTTCCTAGGCTCTTTATGTCAAAGCAAAAGTAATTTTCAGCTCATAAAGTTCATTTTTAAAGATACCTCAATTAAAGATATTTTATCTATATATGTGTGAATCTTTTTGTTATTATTAAAATAGGCTGCTAGGAAGAACATATATAACTAATTCAACTTGAAAAGGGAAACTAGGTGCTCCTTAAGTTGTCACTTGAGCCATAAGAGCTTTGTCTCATATCAATCTGAGGATGTGTGTAAATGCGCGACCTTTTAATTATTATGACTTAAGAAAATCACCTCAAAAAACACATTAAGCACTAAAAATCACTGTTTTCCCTGTATTCCAAGTACATTTTAAAAGCTTATACTTTCTAGCAGTAATTATTTTGAAGTTTAACATTCATATCTTTGTATTTTCAAAATATTATGCAGTTCTTAATATTTTTGACAAGTCAGTAAAATACTTCTGTATGATTTTGAACTTATAGCTGAGAAAAGAATTTAAACAAAAATAAATTTTTTTAAGGATACACAATAAATTAGTGGCAGAACTAGGATACAAATTTTTGACCTCTTAGTTTCTAAGTGAGAAAATTACAAGTATTCGAACCATTTAGATAAATGCACTTTTAATGTATTTCCCTATCACTGTTCTGGAAATCCCTGGAGATGACAGTGTCTTTGCCTAAAATTGGTTCCTTATCCCTCCTTTGGCAGAAAATCCCTTGCAGATAGTACAACTATGTTTATTTCAGGGAGCACACACTTTAACTGGGTGTTGTAGAGATTGGGAGTGTTTCCCCACACTCAGTATATTCTCTCACAGTTAAGAAACCTTCGAAGCATTAAGAGGAAGGGGTTATAAACCCAGATAGGATCTGAGGTGTGCTTCCCACAACATAAACCCATAACAGCACCAGAAAAGAAAACGAAGACAACACACAGGATTTCTCATTCAGAACCACATATTTCCAGGGTAGTTTCCTTGTGAAGAAATAAATTACAATACTTTAATTTCAAAGTGAAAATATTCCCCTGGTAATCATCCATACAAGCTCCATTTCTTTATGGTCTCACTTCTTTTATTCATGGTTTGTTCGTTTTTTTAGATTCTTCAAGTAAACCTGGCATATAACATTAAAACTGCTTTGATTCCAATCCTCTACTGTGAATAATACTTTCATATATTAAGACTTCTGAAAGTGGTATGATTTTAAAATACAACTTGGGTTTATGAACACTGCCACAATGTATCTTCCCTTACAAAACATTTAGTAAATATTTAATATTAAAATCATGTACTTATGATGTGGTACAGTTATAATTAGGTTGGAACTACAAATAACCTACTTGAATAGGTAACTATTATTTGTACCTCACATTTTAATTCTGAAAACCTACTGTTAAACACAAGTATCTTCTATTTGAACTCTTTTCAATTAAGTTCCAATTTCACATTTAAAGCAAATCAAGTGATTCATACTCTATCTTCACAACATATTCATGAAAAACTTGCTATCAGCTCAAGCACTGCAGTCTGTCAGAAACCAATAACAACTCACATCTCCTTAGTACAATTTCGTTACTTTTATCTATCTTTCTAGATTTTCTGCTGTTAAAATTCAGACTATATTCAATTGACAATAATTACAAAGATTGACAACCAGTGTAATGGAGGTGTGGAGAGTCCCCTGCAAACAAATACTGTTAGTAGGAATGTAAACTTGCAGACTTTTTTTTGGTGTTCAATTTGGCAATAATTATCAAAAATTTAAAATTATACACATATACTTTTTGACAAGCAAATTCATGTATATACTTATCTAACAGAAATACCAACATAAGTGAGCCAAGATATACACACAAAGGTCAATATAGCATTGTTTAAAATAGTGAAAAGTGAAATGAACCTACCTGTGTAGAAAAGATATAACATAGCAGGCCTGAGACTGCTACCCTTAGAAAGCCTTGCTGGCAAGGTCGGCCCTTGGTTAGCATCTGGGAACTTGGCTGGTAAACAGTGCCCTACACTGATATAAAGCTTTCCCTGAGTACCCAAACCTGGATATATGAAGCCATTACTGAACTGACGCACTACGGTATATAACCCAGAGCCACTCAGCACCAAGACTCAACTGGTTATAAAAAAAATACTTTATTGTTTAAGCCATTTTGAAATGGGACATTAGTGCTTGCAGTCTAAAGTATCCCTCTGGATTTCCATTTCTGTAGGCTTATATAAAATGACACTGAAATTACAAGCCAGAGCCCTGTATTTGTATGTCCAGATGTATCACTTACTAATTTTGTGAATGTGGGCAAGCCACTTTCCATCCAGAGGTAGTTTCTTCATTATACAAGTGAAACGATACCTTGTATTTTATAAACACTGTTATGAAAAAAATAGAAGGCAAACCACTATATTCTGTACAATGTTTGTAAACTTTAATGATCAGACAAGTCCTAACAAATAACCTGGTATATAAGTAGCCAATAATGGACCCATACCTCTGATACCTCCGAGTGCCCCAAACCTGGAATATTTAAATCCCAGAAGCTCTGCCCATCCACATTATGAAAACTGTCCCATCTATTACCAGAAACATCTGAAGTCAGTCATGGGAAACAGTTTAGTGGCTAGTGTGATAACATAGATTTTAATACATTAAAGTTTTATTTGGGTTAGCATTAGTATTTTGTTTTGAAAAGATTATAGATATCACATGTTGTCTGTCACTCCCAGGACATTTACAGAATTCCTGAATATACAATGCTGGAAAACAACATGAAGTAGATTCAACTGTAAGACAGGCTGAGCCAACCACATGATATAGAGATGGTCTGCTATCGGTAGCAATTCAAATAAGATGGCTCAGGCAATCTCCACTTAAATGTCTCAAATGAGAAATTAACAGAGAGGCACATTCAGGAAGCGACAGAACTTTTTTCAGAGTACCAACTATTCTGTACCATAGTCACATTCTGGAATTTACATTACCATTCTTAAAGGTTTTATTAGAAATAATGAGTATTTAAATGTTGTACTCAGTGTATTTACTAATTATAATATACAGATATATGGACAGATGTATACATATACGTACACATACATGTATACATGTAAATGTTAGGCCAAAGGAAGCTTTACAACAAGCACCAAAGAATATTTAACTGGTTGCAGAGACAGAAACTGAGCTTCCTAAGTTATCAATCACATAAGTTATTAACCATGTAAGTTTCATATATTAAAAAATAAAGTAAGATAAAAATTTTAATGTACTTAACCATACAACATATAAAATAGTTAACATACATCATAAACAAATCCATTACCAGATCGCAGATACAAAACAATTAGCCATTCACATGTAATAAACATTAATATTTCAAGGAAAAAGATTTTAAATACAATAGTTACTATTACCAAAACTATACTAACATAGTATAATATCACAAAAAGTTGTAGGAAATATTAATAATTTGCAAATAACAGGATTATTTCTATTACATTCTAAATCCAAATTTTATCTCCCTTTATGCACATTTCATAAAAGAAAATGTTAAAATTAAGTTTCAGAATAAATTCTTATTCTAATTTTTTGTACTTTAATCCTAGAACTATGTTAAAGTATTTCCATTTCAAAGGAATAACCTATGGTTTCTCAGAAGAATTATTTTTAATACTGGCAGTCTTACTGTATTTCAATACACAAAATACAAATCTTTTCTTCTGTCAGAAAGTTCAAAATTAAGAACTCTACACCAAGCTCTTTGTTCTGTGTTTTCTTTTCTTCTTGGGTGCAGTGAACTCTAAAGACATAAAATTAAGAAGTCTGTCAGATCCAAAAAAATTATACTTAACTGATGACATACATTAAACTATACGGATGTTTAATTGATATTAAACAAGAATGCCATCACAGCAAAGCTCCAATAAAGAATCTTAAACCTGACATATACATGATTTTTTCTTCAAAATGATACTGTAGTTGAAGACTTACTAATGTAGACCCTAGTCATCCTAAATCATAGTTAATAATAAGCTACTCTGAAATTGCTTCATATGAGTATACCCTCCCTATAATGAGCATGGACCCATGTGCAAGATCTGAAAGGTATCTAGGCCAGTGCCAAGAGAGATAAAGTGCCTAAGACTTCAATTTCATTGCAATTAAACCTGAAAATGTAATCCAAAACACTAGTACCATACATCTTTTCGGCTATCACAGCAGATGTCAGAGCCAACACACAAATAAGTGTCCACCTAGAAATAAGCTGTGAACCTAATAGTTACTGGTCATTAAACACAAAGAAAATCACAGGAGATACAAAAACACGGAAATTATGAAAGATGTAAAGAAATATTCTCCACCAATTAAAACAAAATAATGAAAGGAAAAGGAATGAGAAAAGACAAAGAAAAAAATGAAAAAGAAAACAGGTTCCTAGAAGAAAGGCGCAGCCAGGAAAGAGAGCAGCAGGCCACAAGGACAAACTGCCCAGGGGAAAGCAGGTCACAGGTCTGAAAGAGACCTCTTTAAAAAGACAAAACTGATAAAATGCCTAATGTGTCTGAATTTACGAAGAAAAGATTTATACAACTGAGTAAGTGTTTGGGGACAAATCAGTGATAAATACACAGAAAAAATAAGTTAATAAGGCAAAAAAAAAGTTATTAAATCTCTAGGAAAAACAATGAATGCACAGATTAAGGAAGAATCATAGTCTATTACACAGCCCTACTGCCAATAATGTTTTGTAAATGCTGAATAACCAATACAAATAAAATGGAGAGGGTGGGGCTGGGAAGCATACATGTGTTTGGGATGGGAGGTGAAGAATATAAGAGAACTAAATCCTTGCCTTCCTCAGTGGGAAGTCAATGGATAATCCAGAGAACTTAAGTATTAAGAAATGACGATACAAACACATTATTTAGAGACACAGAGGTAAAGACCACAATAATTAGTAAAGAGTTAAAAGTGATTATCTCTGGGGAGTAAGAAATGGGAATTGCAGTCATAAGACTGTGGTTCCTTATAATGAGCATTATAAAATTATTTGAATTGTTAGATTATGTGCTTACGTAATTATGATTTAATGAAAATCAAATTTTTAGAAATCACAAGCTGATAGATTTTGGAAGAGGACTTGCCAACTAGCCATAAAGATGTAATGATTAATAGTTCAAACACAGTAAAAGCCAGAAAGTAAGACTGGGAAGAAAGTACAGCCTGAAACTCACCATGAGATTGTGAAGGACTGTTTTATGCTGACCACAGAAGCAAACCACAGAAGCATTCAGATTTCTGAAGGAATAAATACTCCCTTTTACTTGTTTATTCCTTGTCATCTATATGCTTCATAGCACCCTGTTTCTCTTTACTATAATGTACTAGCTTGTTATCCTCCCAAACTAAACTGTAAAGTCCTTGGGGACACAGACTGATATGATTCATTCAACAAATATTTACTTGGGTCCACTATGGCTGGTCACTTGTGCTCAGATCTATAATCATTGTGATTAAAATAAAATGATTGTTAAATTCTTGTGTTACATATCTTTATATCCCTGTATCTGAGTGCTTGAAACACAATAGACACTCAGTAAATGCTTGCTGGATGAATACAGAGCCCAAAGGGGAAAAAATCAACAGGCATTATTATTAATACACATCATATTCATTATCACTGATGAATTATCAATTGCTACTTTTGAGTGTCTTAACAGTATGATTAATACTAATCTCCAATGTACCAAAGATAAAAACATCACAAGAACATACAGCCATTCATCATGCCTTTAATACTCTATGAGCATAGCTTCCCTTCGGTAGTTTAACAAAATTTGATCTGTACCTGATTCACTACAGCTTTTGTTCTCCTCATCCTCTTCTGTAATTACGGGCATACTCAGACTTAAACATTTATCTTCCTTATGTATATTCTGCATATCATCTGGAAATAGAAAAAAATGATTTTATATGAAAACAAAGAATGTTACTCTTTCAGAAAAAAATTTACACAAATAATGTCATTCTTATAACATAAAAATTATGTTTAAATTAAAAGCCAAAATTGTAATGGTAAACAAATATGCATTTTAAAATACATATCTTTTTTAAGTATTAATATATTTCTATCTACGCTTTGAAAATAATCTCTAATTCTTCCATTAAAGTAAAGAAAATGGAAAAAGGAAGAAACAAAATTAGCCAAACAGAGATTTCTTATCCAGCCTTTATCACACAACACAGGTTATATCTGCTGACATTAGGGAATAATTATGTGTGTTACTTCAACTTTATTAGTTAATCTTAAATGTAATTTTAAAGTTAATAGCTTTGTTTTTGAGTGAAGACACACTTTCTTTTATCGCCACACACGCTCTGCAAGATATATTTCCCTAGTCAAAATCTGCCACTGACTTTATATTTTCCAAAACATTGAAAGTTTTCTCCATCAACCTTTGGTATTGATCAAATCCATTGTCTTATCAGGTCTCATTTAACACATAAGTTCTATGCCCTAACAGCAGCCCCCACCCCAGAGTCATTTTTTATTCCTCTTGCTGCCTTATTCTTCTCCACAACATTTTTAGCACCTCGTATATCATAATTTGTTTTGTTATAGTCTGCCTCTTCCCACTATTTAAGCTTCATAAGGATAGATTCTGGTTTACAAATGATGTACTCCAGCACTTAGAAAAGTGCCTGGCATATAGTAGGGCCTCACTAAATATTATATGATTAGATATGGATTCAACTACTTTATAATATAATACTTCACAGAGTATATATGTTAATAAGTGCCTGTCAGCACAAGAGGAAAATTAAATGAAAATGAGTTTAAGCTCTCTGCTCTGAACACATGTATGCTGGAATCTTAATGGTGTACAGATTTTATGAAGAGACTGTTCTAAGACAGATTGAGTAAACTGTGGCAAAAAGCTTCCATTTTAAACACAATTCAAACTTAACAAAATAATACCAACTTCTCCTTAAGTCATCAAAATAGAATTTCACCTTTACCTGCAAGTCCTACATATTAACTACAATAATTTTTACATGATTTTTAAGATAATCTTTTAGAAAATCTTACCATATCTAATCATGTTTTTTTAGACTTTTAACCGATAGAATTTTTCAGTTGTTCACAAAATTATAATCAGTATGATCTATCCAAAATTATTATTATTATTCACAATCTTTTAGCAATGTCCATTATAATTTTTCTACTTATAAAAAGTATAATTATATGGCCATCCATATCAATTATAGTGTTTTTTTATCCACATTAACAACCTAACAGAATTTATCCAACAATGTCAAGGGAAAGATTTTTGAGTTAAAAAAGTGGCCACTGAGAAACAAACCTTCATCTAGTTATATGATGATTAACTACATTTTAGAGATCTAGTACTTCTACATTAAATGAACAGGCTTAAAAAAGACAAAGCAATGTTCTCCAAAAACTCTTTAAAATACAATGCTTCACCCCCTAATCATGCAGCTAGGAACCAAGGATGTTTATCTCAAAGTCCACATATTAAATACAGCTCATGAACTTCAGCCATGGATATGTTCCTCAGAACCCAATTTACATTATCCGGAACCTAATTACATTTCTTTTACAGAAAACTGAAATGAATGGCCAATCAGTTTTTTAAACATTGCAGTTAAGAAGCAGCGAAAGGGCAAAAAAAAATTGCTACAAGCCTGCACACTGAGAACAGAAAGACACCTATCATAACAAATGTGACAGAAAAACTATTTTTAAAAATAAGACCTAAGAGCTGACACAAAAACTGCAGCATGGAGACATAAGTATAAACCGCTCCAAACACATAAGATATATCTTGATTGGATCATTATATTATAAAACCCAGTAAAATAACATGCTCATGAGGATAACCCTGAGTCTTAGAGAGAAAATTAAATTATATTCAGGATATACTGTTCTAGAAAATAGGAGAGCATAAAAAACATTTTAGTATTTTTCTAATTATAAAAATTACAAATGTACATTATAGAAGACAAGAAACATAAAGAATATGTTTTAGAAAGATAATCAACCAGAATAATTAAACTTTTAAAAAGTAAATTTTGATATTTAAATCCTTAACCTCAGTTAGCCACAAAACTAATTTCCCAGAGGATGTCAGGTATAGTTTTACTATGCTCAAAGCTAATTGTGTGGGATGCAATTATAAGAGACTTTTGCTTAATCTCAAAATAAATGATTACTAGAGAGGCAGCTACACTTTATAAAACTTACTTAAGGGCCTATCTAATTTAAGCTCCAGATCCACATTTCTAATTACCTGACAGACAGCAAGTATAGCCATTAAAAGATTCATGCTTGGATTCATACAGACGGCCATTCAAGTCTCAACTCTATTTATTACCTAGGTGACCTCCAACATGTGAAAAAAGTTTGGTGGCTAATAAGTGTTACATAAATAATAACTGTTATCATCTTCAACATCATATCATCATTACTATTACTGACGTCCTTCCAGAAATATGCATGTTGTATTCAATGAATGGTGAACAGGTATAGCCAAACACTGAACACCTACTTATGTGCTAGATAGTTATTATAGGAATTGGACTTGGAAAGGCAGATTGGGGCAAATTGTGCCCTCCCACCCCCACGAAAGTTTCATCCTGTGATCCTTATTTCTATTAAAAGCATCAACATTCCCCCAGTTACTTAAGCATTAAGTGTCCTTGTCTCATCCCTCTCCATTAGCCTGTATATTTAGTTACCTGTAGATATACATGGCTCTCATATTTGTCAGTCTGCTTGTCTAATTCCTACAATCACCTGGGCAGATACCCATTACTTCTACACAGACTTTTACTTAGTAGTCCTGTTTTTAGTTTGTTCCCACCTACCTACCACACTACTCCTAAATTGATTTTCTTCAAAGAAAACTGGTCATACCATCTTCTTGCTCAGAAGTCTCAGATGACGCTCCCTCTTCCTACCAATTTAAGTCAAAATTTCTTGGTTCCACATTAGATACATCCTTTACACTCCAGGCAAAATAGACCTCTCCCTCTAGACTTTCAACTACTTTGCCCGTTTTCATGCCAATCCTTCTACTTGTCTTAGCCTACGGAATGGTTTTATTAAAATTTTTGGATTTTTCCTAATCACTAAATATATTATCACATAAAATTCAAACATTATAGAAATTTATGGACTTAGACATTTCTCATGGTGCCATCCCTTAGAAATAACCACTTGTTAATATGCTTCTAGATTTCTTCAATGGCATATATTGTGTTCATGCATACATATATTTTTATTAACAGAAATGAAATCATATTTGTTTTTAAGAAGACATTCTCACCAAGCAATGTATCAATATATTTTGGTCATATTTTCATGTCAATATATATGTAACTTTCCCCAGCTTTTTAATAACTGTAAAAAATTCCTTTGTATGGACTACCAATAATTTTATGTACTCAATTTTTAATGTTGTTTATGTCCTGTGTGTTTCTGTCATTTGCAAAGGATAAATTACTAAAAATTGAATTACTAAGTTAAAAGGCAGTACATTAAAAATTATGAGAGATGATTCCAAATTGATCTCTAAACAGGATGTGCCAATTTATACTCCTATTTCAATTCAGATTTTATCTCCTCACACTTTCATCATAAATGGGTATTCAGTTATCTTTAATCTTTGCCAATTTAACAAATTATATTAAAATCATGATTTAATTTACATTTCTTTGCTTATTAATGAAGTTAAATATCTCTTCATATGTACATTGACTGTCTGTACTTTGTAAAGTGCCTGTTGGTGTCCTAAGCCCATTTTTCTACTGGGTGGTGGCTCTTTTACTAATTTATACGATTTCTCCTAAAATTAGAAATTTTAACATTATCATATATGTGCTGCAAATAGTTTCACAACACCGTTTGCTTTTTATGGACCATAAGGCACCTCTTTTTGAAAAAACTAGGAAATCAAAAATACCTTTCCACCTTAAGGAAGTGAACTTTTAATTAAAAAGAAATTGTGAAGTACCTGGATCTTTATTGAGAAATAGAATAACGAATTACTTCTGCTTCAGAGTACTTAAAATGCCTTCTAAGCTAAAAAGCTGGTGAGCTGGAATAGCTACGACTGAAGATCCGAATTCAGATCACATTTTATTATACTTTCTTTTTCATGGGTTAAATCTTCCCTAACATGTCTATGTAAATTCAGTAACAAATCTTGGATGTGTTAAAGAACTTGTCCTTAAGTTAATTTCAGACTTCATGAAAATGTTTTACTAACTACATTAATAAAATATGCTAGTGAAAAAAGTAATATTTCATAAATAATACCTGTTAAAACATTTAAGATGAAACAGAACTTTCATTTCATTTCTTTCCTGTCTTATACTTGCTCCTCCTCTGTTCCTCAACCACATAAAAACAAAAACAACCTGTTTTTCAAGTGTTTAAGAAAGCGTCTTGGCCAGCTTACCTCTCTGCTGCTCTTGTACAAAGTAAGGTTAACTATCAATAAAAAAAAGTTTGTGCACATTTCTAAACCTAACTATCTTTGATACCTTAGGAAAAAAACATTTTAATCTATCAGAAGTTTTTTTTTAAGTATAATCAAACTAATGAATCTTCTCATAACCTTTGGTTTGGTTTTGGTAATTGAACTATTAATAATATATAACAAAATTCACCATTTTTAATGTGCAGACTTAGCAGTTTGAACAAGTGCATAGTTATGCAATCACCACAGCAATCAAAATACAGAAAATTTTCATCATGCCAAAAATTTCCCTTGTGCTCTTTTGCAGTCAACACCTTCTTCCACCCCCAGTTCCCAGGAACTAATGATCAGTTTTCTGTCTCTATAGATTTGCCTTTCCAGAATGTCTTCTAAGTGGAATCATACAGTATGTAGCCTTTTGTGTCTGGCTTCTTTCATTTACTGCTATGCATATGAAATTCATCCATGTCATTACAATGCTTCAGTAGTCTTTTATTGCTGAGTAGTATTCTACTGTATGATTATACTAGTTTGTTTATCCAATGGCCAGTTGAAGATCTTTAAGCTGTTTGCAACTTTTCACAATTATGAATAAAATAAAACTACTATAAACTTTTATGTATAAATTTCTCTGTGAATATACGTTTTCATATCTCTTGAGTAAATACCAAAGAGAAAGGCTGCTAGTAAATACAGTAAGTGTATAATTAACTATTAGGAATTGCCAGTTTTCCAAAGTGAATGCACCATTCTGGATTCCCACCAGAAATGTATGAAGGTTCCAACTGTTCTACATCCTCACCAGCTTTTGTTATATCCAATTTTTTTGTGTTTTTTGGTTTTTGTTAACATTCTGACAGGGAATAGTAGAACGTCATTGTGATTTTAATTTGCATTTCCCTAATAACTAAAGATGTTGAGCTTCTTTCATGTGTTTGCCATCCACATATTTTCTCTGAAGTGTCTGTTCAAATTGTTTACCAACCCATTTTTATTTTTATTTTTTTATGCCTATAGCACCTAGTATTCCTAAGTGGTCTCCCATCCAAGTACTAACCAGCCCAACCCTGCTTAGCTTCCCAACCCATTTTTAAATAGAGTTGTTTATTTACTAAGTTTTGAAGTTCTTTATATACTCTGGAAAAAGATATCAAGTTTGTATCTTCCATGTTTTTACTCCAGTCTGTGGCTTGTTTTTTCATTTTCTTAACAGTGTCTTCCAAAAAATTTTAATTCGGAGAAAGTCCAATTTACCAATACTTTTTCTTTTATGGTTTGTGTTTTCTGTCATATATAAAAAAACTTTGCCCAAACCAAGATCACATTTTCTATGTTTTCTTCTATAAGTTTTATAATTTTAGGTTTCATATTTAGGTCTATGATCCATTTTGAATTAATTTTTGTATATGATGAAAGGTATGAGTCGAGGATCTGTTTTTTGCATATGGATATAAAAATGTATCAGTACCATTTATTAAAGACTATCCTTTTTCCTCATTGAATTGCCTTTGCACCTTTGTAGAATATAAAATTAAGCATACATATATGGCTCTATTTCTAGATTCTCTACTCTTTTCCATTGATTTGTGCATCTATCTTTTGGCAGATAGCACATTGTCTTGATTTCTAAAGATTTATAGTAATTTTTCAAAACTGTTTTGGCCTCTAGTTTTTTTGAATTTTCAAATATATTTAAGAATCGGCTTGTTAATTTATACATAATAACCTTCTAGAGATTTTTTATTGGTATTGCATTTAATGTACAGAACAATTTGGGAGTAGTTGACATCTTAACAATATTGGATTTTCTAATCCATGAAGACCATATCTCCATTTATTTTTTTTATTCCTTTCGTCGTTTTGTAGTTTTCAGCATACAGATCCTGTACATTATTTTGTTACCTATAAAGTATTTTGCTTTTGGTTTTACTGTACTTTCCCTAAAATATTTCTAATTATTCATTGTTAATATAGTTCAGAAATACTAACCCTGAACCTTATGAAATACTAACCCTGAACCTACTCAGTTCTGGTAGCTATAATGTAGCTTCTGTGTAAAAATTAATTTCATTTGCAAACTCACAGTATTATTTCTTCTTTTTCAATCTAAATGTCTATTATTCCCTTTTTTTCTCTTATCACTGGCTAAGACTTTTAATATGATGTATAATAGAAGCAATGAGAGCAGACATCCTTCCCTTGTTCCCAATTTTAGGGAGAAAGTATTATTTCACCACTAAGTATGATGTTAGCTGCAGTTTTTCATTTTTTATCATGAATAAATGCTAAATTTTGTCAAATATTTTGTCTATATATATTGAAATTATATAGGTTTTCTTCCTTATTCTGCTAATATGGTGAATAATAAATAATTTTATATTCCTGCTTTATATTCCTGGGATAAACCATAGTTTGTCCTAATACATTGCCCCTTTAACATATTGTTGGAATCAAGTTACTAATATTTTGTAAGGATTTTTAGATTTATGTTTATGAGGGATACCAGTCTTTAGTTTTCCTTTCCTATAAGGTCAATAAGCTGGGAAATGTTCCTTCTGGGGTTTTCTGAAAGAACAGGATTGATATAATTCCTTTCTTAAACATTTTCTAGAATTCCCAGTGAAGCCGTCTGGGAATTTAATTTCTTCAGTAAACACAGAAGTACTCATATTTTTTTATTCCTTCTTGTATTGGTTTTAGAAATTTATATCTTTTAAGACATATACCCATTTTATCCAAGCTATCTAACTTATTGGCATAAAATTATTCATAATTTTTCCTTATTATCTTTCTAATTTCTGTGAGGTCTGTAGTGGTATCCTTTACCTTATAAATTTTTTATTACTAATTTTTTTCAGCAAATTCTCTTTAGGATATTTTTTAAGCAAAAAATTAGTCATTTGCAAATCATTATAATTTTGTAGACTTTCTCTCTGAAATTATATCTATCTCACTTCATTCTCCTGCCTAATTACATTGATTAGTCCATCAAGAGCAATGTTAAATAAAATTGCGATAGTTCTATGAATTACCATCAAACATAAGGTGGCTTTTGGTCTAATGACACGACATACATATACACACCCACATACTCTTTTAAGTTAAAGAAATAACCATCTACTTCTTTCATCTGGAGCAGGGGTTGACAAACTATGGCTAGAGGCAAATCTGGCCCATAACCTGTTTTCATAAATACAACTTTACTGGAACACACTCATTTGTTTATGTATTCTCTGTGACTACTTTCACCCTACAATGGCAGAGCTGAGTAGCTGTGACAGAAATCATATGATATGGCCCACAAAGCCCACAAAATATTTACTATCTGGCTCCTTACAAAGTTTGCTGACCTAGAGGACTTTTAAAAAATCAAAAATGCATGGTAGATTTTATCAAACGTCTTCTTGGGTACTATCAAAATGAATTCACATTTTCCCCTTTAACCTACTTATGTGACAAATTATATTGACAGAGTCTTAACTGCAGCATCACTGCATCCTAGAATGAATGCACTCAAAGTGTTTTGTATCCGGGATTCTTCCAATACATATAATTTGGGATTTTTTCAGTAATACCCATAAGTGAAATTCGCCTAACAGTTTTCTTCACAATATCTGCTACCTTTGTAAAAAGAACTAAAAATTCTCCTTTAGAAGAATTTCTTGATTATCCTTAACAAATGTGGTATCTCCTCCTCTGAATTCTCCGTGTACTTCAAGCAACAGAACTTAATCATATGTGGACCATATTAAAGGTATTTAACTTCAATCTCCTTCCACTGCCTCAATGTAGGGGGAAAAAAAATTAAAAGACGGTAATATATCTTCATATACTGCTGCAGTAGCTAGGAGTGTGTTTCATATTAGGCATTAAATATTTACTAATGTTTCTAATACCTTTTTTTCCCCCTTGGGTCTGCTAATCAGATTTCAACTTTATGTATGGTGAATATATATTATTTGTGTAAATTTAAAAATTTAAACTATTGAAATATATAGTCATTTTTTTAAGAACCAAATACCAAAGTTAATTTTATAGATACACTATTTCAAAAGAAGGTACAGTTTAATTAGTGCAGCTTGAGGGAAATATGGTTTATAGCATGCTATTATCATACTTACCTTATTCCACACGTGTTTGTTTCACACATGAAAATTACTAATAAAATATGCCCTGGAAAATTCTAGATTGATTCTATAAGTATCTAGCTATATCACTTTGGGAGAAGTTAATCTACATGGGCCTAAATTTCATCATCTATGAAACAATAAATTTAATGATTCCTAGAGTTCCTTTCAGCAGTAAAATTCTAAATATCTAAGATAATTTACTTTTAATCTCACAAAGTTCTCAAACAAGTATCTAATCCCTTTTAATAATGAAAAAAAAAGCAAGGGGACGTTGTAAATAAGACTTATTCACATTTGTTGAGTCTCAAAAAGACTTTAAAAAGTTACCTCTTTTTCTGGAAGACATCTTCCTTCCTGCCGATTTCAATACTTCTTTGTTTCTTTTTTTCCTAGTTGCTTTGATTTGTCCTTGACCAGATGCAGAATCAGAATCAGAAGAGTCAAGTTTGACTTGACGATGCCTTCTTGACTTGGATGCCTTAAAAGTTAGAAATCCAATTAACCACAATGAATCACAAAATGAATGCAACTGACAAAGACGAAACAATCAAAGATGAGGAAAGATTTGCAGAATTACTGTCATAAAGTACTTTACCATTATACTAGCTTGCTTAATACCTGTTGCATGTATATACTCTTTTACCTCTACAAAGGAAAAGTTTCCTGCAGTTGTCATCATCATCTGCTCAAACTGGGTTAAAATGTAGTTGTTGTGGTTGCACGATTGGGAAATGGAGGTGTAAAGGACAAGTACTGTTTTTTTACTGAGTAATAACCTTTTCTTCCTTCTAATATTTTATTTTCCTTAGTTACTACCACATGTTTCGAGTGAAACTACTTTATGCCTGGCTCCAGGTGTGGCCATGTGACAATGATCTAGTCAAAATGAGTTTCACATCCCAATAGCCACCGTGATTTGTTCAGGAGTGGGCAGATGATCTGTATTGTAACTAATATAACTCAATTTTAGAATTCTGTTTTACTATTAGGAAGGAAAATTCTCCATTTCCACTGAACCTATAGCTGGGAACGCGCAAGGCTAGAGTTGTCATGAATAGCATTTGAAGAAAGTGAAAGAAACATAAAAGGTAGAAATGGAGGGAGAATCCAAGGACTTTTGAGTTACATCAGTCAATGAATTCCCTTATTTGCTTAAGCAGAGTCCTAACTAACACAGGAGTTTTCAGTTAACGTCACATGTGCAGTGCAGGTAGGCATTAACAATTGTTTAAAAGCTACCATGTACCGTATGTTAATTGTACCTCAATAAAGGAGAAAAACCACAACTATGCAATTACACACACATATAACAATTTATGGGAGTTATAATTTAATTGTTTAATGATTTTTAAAAAATTATTTCATAATGTCTTAAGACATACATTAAACATCAATTACCACTATGTAATATAGAAACAGTTCTGGTTTAAAAGAATTTGGAATAATTAATTTATTGTTCTTGGGGCTGACATTCAACAATATTTTGTACATAATTAACTGTGATATAGCAACTATATAACACTTAACTAACCTACAGTCTCTTTTAATTTTTTTATTTATTCTCTTATATCTCTACAACCAGAAAATGATAGTAATTTCTCACAGAATAAAGACATTCTTGGATTCATGAAGAAAATCCAGGATAAAATATGGGATTAATCACATAAATTTATCAGTGCTCCCTCCTGAAACCCACTAAAATAAGAGTAAAGGAACAAAAATGATCTCACAAAACATCACAAAACACAGATAATAAGAAACAAAGCTGCTGTAAAAAAAGATAATAAAATTTGAAAGTGGGAAAGTGAGCGATACCTGACAACAGAAAGAAGAAAGCTGAAATCTGATTGACTATATTGAGGAAGTTACTATAACACAAGCTGATCCGAGGAGATCAGGAAATGGAGTCATCAGAAATAAGCTAAAAAAATGGGTAGACAGGTTGAAAATCTACATAGTAAATAGTATCTCATTTCCCAGGCTTAAAAGTAAAGAACTGATCCCCCTCTATATAAAAAAAAGGAGGTTTGCTCCCTGGAGAGGCTAAACTAGAGAAACTTTAGGCTTGAGGAAACTGGTATAGCTAAGGCAGGGGACAGAGCCTCTTACTGAAAATAGTTTAAGTGAAACCTGCAGGTGGAATAGTAAGCCTCTTAGCTGATTCTCTAGGTAGGCTCCCCAGACATTGGCAGCTTATTTACCACTGTCTTCCCCCAGACAGGGAATGGAAGATTGCTATCTGGTAAAAATGACTAGATCCAAGAAAAAGAAATATAGAGGTTAAAAAGCTACTCTTAAATATGATCTGAGGCTCTTCAAACATTTGAAAAAGCCACCAAAATAAAAGACAGAAATCAAAATAAATAAAAATAAGAATTCGGGGATGGGGAGAGGAGGAAACTTCAAAAAACTATCATTAACATCCTCAAAGAGATAAGATAATGCATCCGGGGTAGGGTGGGGGGAAGATGAAGAATACATTTTTTTTAACTAAAAAGATTGAGAGAAGACAAAAATCTTAGTAATAAAAACATGTCAGCAGAAATAACTTAATGGTTCAGAAGATAAAATTTAAGAAATCTCCCTAAAAATAGAGATTGAAAACAGAAAAGAAAAATAAGAAAATAAAAGTTCAAGAAAAGCAAAAGAGCAAAAATGCAGTAAAGAATACTATCAAAGAAACAATACCAAAAATTTCTCAGAACTGAAGGCTATCAGACCAAAAAATGCCCACCATGAGAGTCAAGAACAATGATGGGAAAAAGACCAACACCAGGTTACATTATCATGAAATTTCAAGACTCCAGGGATAAAGAGAAAATCCTAAAACCTTTCACAACCAGGAATACGAAAGCTAGAAGACAATAAAGAACAATGGCATAAAAAACTGGCATCAAAATGCCAGGTAAATACCAGAAGACATAACTAAAAGACATAACTAATGTTGAAGACCGTTGTCTCTTGAGATTAGAAATCTAAGGGTGGGAAGTGGTACAGCAGATGATTATATAAGCTATGTAGCATTGTCAGACTTTTAAAACTATGTACATGTATCACTTTGATGGAAAATAAAAATGTAATTTAAAAAGCATCCAGTCAATTGCTAAATTATCTTACTAAAGAAATAACTTACCTGAGCAATAACTGAAAAGGCCTTTGATTTTATTTTCGCTAATGATTCTGCCCTTTCGCATCTCTGGAAGTAAAAAAAAAAAACAGGAAGGGGAAAAAGTTAAAACACATAAACATTAAATGAAATTACGAAAACCCACTGAAATAGGATTTGAGATAGAAGGTAGGGTAAAAGGAACTAACATTTATTGGACATATATTGAGTAAAGACACAAACATACACCACATTCTCATAGCAGGTGCCATGATACCATCCTCGCAGCTATTAACTGTTTTCATTAAGGATTTAAAAGGATAAGAACAAAAGCCTTGGTGATCAGGCCATTCCCTGCTCATCTGCCTATGCCCAAAGATGGCTCTTTGTCTCATCCACGGAGACAGATGAAAACTCTGGAGGCAGGAAGCAGACTGGTTGAAAGTGTGACAGGAAGTGAGAAGAGAAATTTTACAAGAGCCTTGTTCTGCCCCTATAAAGACTCAGGACACTGTCCACCATCATCCTTCCCTATCCCTACTGAAAATTGTTAACATCCTCACTCACAGTCTATACCTGATGTGGTCTTTCACAAGATTTCCAGTAAAGAACTGACTAGCTCTTCAAAGAATCCATGTTTCATAATTTTCTAAGATACTTATTATAACACTGACCAAGAATTATGTTTAGTATATGGAATCACAGCCACACATAAAATAAAAAGAAGCTAATCAAACTACTGCCTTGTAAGCAATTCTATAGTGAATTTTTCTGACCTCTGATTCTTGTGAATTTCCTTCTCTCTTTTCTTCTCCATCTTTAGCTTTTGATTTTGAGGGATTCTAAAAGAGCCAAAAAATTTATACATACACATTAACAGTTCAAATTAACTAAAATTAATTGCAAATCAATTTCAGAACAATGAGAATCATTTCCTTTTTATTACTGAAAAACTAAAAGATTGTTTCCTATTATTGCAGCAGGGTTCACCACCTGACAAGATTATGTTCAAGTTTCAGAAAAGTTCTAAAATTAATCAATAAAATGCCCAAATCTTCCTAACTAATGAAGGATAACATGCACTTTTTGTGATAGTTAATAAAATTGGTTTATTCTCCTTTACTTCAGGTTTTCAGATGTCTTGGTAATGCTCATTAAAGACAGTTTATTTATTAAAAGAGAGTATTATAATAGATTTTTACATTAAATCTCTAGGTCATTTGTGGCAATTAAAGTATTCTAAACATTCTAAAATGTGCTATCTCATTAAAATAAATGTGAGTAAAGGAAGCAAAGTATTTCCTTCTTCCCAAGACTGTCATCTCCTCATCACTTTCTTATATATTTTTTCTGAAATTAAGTTTGAGCCAGCTCCCTTTATATAATGGAAAGCCAAAAAGTGGCAATATATCTTTCTGAAAAACAACATGTAAGATAATAATACCTATCTAGCATTTGAGAAAACACTAATACATTATCTCACACATAGTAGTAAGTAATCAGAAATTGCTTATTTTTACTTTTTAGTAAGTATTTACTAAAATAAGATGAAACAGTGGTTTCAAAGGTAAATTTAGAAAGGCTGGCCTTTAGGTTTCCAGAGTAAAATAGTTCTCCAGCTGAAAAGGTTGATGTGGAATACAGATAGCTCTAGCCTCGGCATTTGGATCAGAAAACTGAACTGAAGATTTGTGTTGATAAAATCTGTAAGTGGATAAACCAAGGCTGGTAGAGCATGTGGTAAACAGAGAGGCAGACCCCCTATTGCAATGAGAGAGGCCACCACTCAGGTCTAGAACCTGCTGCCCTGCAGCAAAGTGGAAACGGTGCCTCTAAAGCTCTGATTTTTAAGAGAAGTTGGGATGTCTGGAATTGTACAAGTCTACAAGTATTTAAATGTTAGTAATTAACTCAAATATTTAAAACAATGTTAGGATCAATGTTGTACTAAACAAAGCACATCTGTGTGCAGAATTTGGCCCAAAGACTGCCAATCTGTGGTATACTAAGATGGCTTATTCCTCTATATATGTATATATAACATTATTTAATTATATATCGTTATTAATTATAATTTCATAATTACATATATAATTATACATAACATCTGTTTGTAAGGTTAAATAACATCACATAGCTAATAAGTGGTAAAGAAAAGTAAATATATAGGAATGTAGCTATACAGGAATACAGCTCCTCAGCTAGGCTGACTCTCAACATTATCAACCACGTCTAGACGTTACTATATAATGCAAATGCAAAGGTGAAGTATCAAATGAACAGTCACATACCTTCCTGTCTCTGTGCCATTGCTGATGCTCTAAAACTATGTTCTTAATATTGTCAAAAAAATCATCCTTTATCAAGCTGAGGGCTTTGTCTGGATTGGATTTATCAGCTGAAATTACATGTTTCATGTTCTGATAATGATCATGAACATTCAGCATTTCCTAAAGGTGAAAAGATGTCTTTTATTTCAATTTCATAGGAGAAACTTAAAGGCAAAAGCAACACAAAATAAAATGACATTCTAAAGTGACCGAGTTAATAAGGAATAATATGCTACAATATATTAAAAATAATATAATCATGCAAACAAAATAGTATAACCTTATTAATGAAGACACTGCTTTCCAGGGAAATGGATTCATTGACTTCTACTCAACAAACATTAACTAACGGGCAAAGACTAATTAGTTAACATAGGACTGCATTCCAGAATATAACAAAAATTATTTGTGGTATAACAGATCATTAAAAATCACTAATGATAACTAAGATCACTTTTTTATTTCATAGTTACATCAAGGCTGTTTACATAGTTATGCTCAGCTGGAAATTCCTATATAAGGACTCTCATCTAATTCTCTGCAGAGATGTGCTGACTTTCACAAATCTCAAAACCTATGTGCCTGTCCCCATAAGCTTCATCATTACTTCAGTGTTAAGATTCAGGACTAAAAGAAATAAAGGACACTAGTTGAGGCATCATTTACTAATTATGCCTTCCTCCCCCAGAAACCTCCTAATAGGCAAGTCTATGGGGTAAGAAGAAAGACAGGACATTATAGGCAGACTTAAGAAATAAGGAAAAAAACATTCTATGATTGGTTAAAATCATTATAATAATTTGCCGTATCCAGTAGATGAAGGATAATCACAATATATAGTTAACAATAAAACAATTTTTTTTAATTTCAAGAGAGTAAAAGCAAATTTACCTCTAATACATCAGAAGTGATAAGTTTCATTACACGATCATTTGGGTCCTTAAATTCTTCCGTAACTTCGGCTCGCTGAATTTTTTTCTTCATTCTATATGATAGCTATATAATAATGAATGTCTTTTAAAGTGGATGTTTTTAAGTACAGAAATAAGTAAGACAGCAGTAAAAACTGTCTATCAGTAAACATGGGTGAAACAAAAACAGCTCTAAGTCTATATTTATTAAATGATCTATTTTTCAAAGACTGTTAGACTTTTGAAACAACCCTTAAGATGCCATGACACATGCTTATAAATCCAGATGAGATTCGAGAAGCTCCATAATTTGCCAGCTGATGGCAGAACCAGAATTAGAACCTCGTGCTCTTTTAATCTAGTGTCTCAACAGTCATAAGATCAAAGAAATATCATATTTTATTAGTGGAAGCTTCAACTTTTCACTGACTGACATTAAAATTCCTCGGTCCTCTTTCAGTAGTACCCTTCTTGATGTCTGAGTAAAGAAATGAGCAAATGCAGATGCTGAATTTAATTCCCTCTTCTAAATATATGCTTAACAGATGGCATCCAGAAACACATGAAATTTAAAAAACAGATTGGATTTTTGTTTGCAACAAGAAGTAATCGGAAAGCATATTCTCCTATTTTAAGAAGCCTTTCTCTAAGTATTGGAAACTATATAATAGTCTTTCCACTCTATGTAGACTGAGGTATTTTATGGACAATGAAGCATAATTTCTCATTATGAAAAAAACAATCTATTTGAGTAACATACCAATTTGGGCATTGCTGTAAAGTGGAATGCTCTGTCTAGTCGTAGCTTCCTAAAAATGTAAGCTGCATCAAAATGTTGTGCATTTATCAAATCTTGTTGAAATTTTAAAACTTCGTCCCAATCCTTCAAGGCAACTCTAATCTGCAAAGAAGAGGAGCAAAACAGTTGTTAGTAAATGCAAATCTTCTTTCACAAATGTATTATAATTTTGAAACACTGGCATTTCTATTTAAATCAGCTTGTTGTAAAATTTTGTACCTGTTTCATATTTTTGTTAGGGGATAACAACACACCAAATATTACCTTTTGTTTTGGCTGACATAGTTGAGTGTTATATAATCCGTATAGCAGATACAAAGCACCAACTCTGATCTGGAAGGTGTATGGAGGTAAAAAATATCGCCAAGCCAAAGCTAAAGCTTCTTTTGTAAATGTGTTCTTTTCTAAATTTCTCATTCTACCACTAGAAAACAAAGAGAAAATATATTACGACTTTAAGTAAATGAGTAATGAACAAAAATTAGAAGTGGTACATTCTAGCTGCTACTAGAAACAGATGAGCATTCCACATCTGATTGCTTCCTGATTCAAACACAAAGACCTAATGTTCTGCTGTGTTTCTTCTGTGTTTATGAGGCATAAGCATACACTAGGTAAACACGACACATCTTCATAAAGCATCAACTTGACTTGCTGAATCGATAAGCAGAAAGAAAAGGGTTACAAATTATTCCTGGTTAAGAATTTGAAATATTTAATAGATTAAAATAACCATGGTTATGTTACAGAATAAAATACAAAAGTTACATGCATTTTAATATATAATGGATATTTTCCCCAATACTCTCGGGGATTCACACTAAAACTCATTTGTCTTTAGGACACTCAGATAAAAAAATTTAGAGACCACAATACAATGTCACCCATCCCACCCTTCCATATCTGCAGGGCAAAGCTCACCAAAGTAAAGAAGGAGCAGGGTAGGAATGCAGATTCCACTATACTCTCAAAGCCTGGGCTCTTCAAATAATAAATACAGTAAAAGAATGCAAAATACTTAGTATAGTACAGGCAACCAAAGCAATTTCTAAAGAAAATCCACCACTCCTCAAGTGGTCTCTACTTTTTTTTCTCATTTTAGGTTTTCTTCATTAGCTTAAAATTGAGGTAACCTCAACACTTTTCTCCTTTTGAGTTCAAGGAAAAATTACTTTACCTCCTTAAACCTCAATTTCTTCACCTATAAGACATCTATTATACCTAATTTTCAGAGTTGTTCTATGAAATACATTAAGATATAAATGCATTACATTTAAGAGCCATTAAAAAAATAATTTCTCTCCTTTCATTAATCTACAACGAATATCTCTTCATCCTCCATCCTCCGCAATGCGCAAACTACATCGGTAATTATTTTACATGGACAGAGAGAAAAAAAGAGAACTTTTATAATTTTATTCATTAAACAAAGTTTTAATCACAAGAACTCATTCATTCAATCAATTATTTAGCCTTTTCAATATTATATGTATTATACTAATGGATAACAGATTCAGAATAACTGTCTTCTAAATATATGAAGAGCTCTGTCTACTGGAGGGAAAATTAAAAAGCAATAATAAGAATAATAATAAACATTTACTGAGTACTTACGGTGCACTTAACACATATTAACTCATTTAATACTCAGAATTACAATATGAAATATTATCATTGTTCCTATTTTACAGATAAGGAAGCTCAAGCATGGTAACTTACGAAAAGTCAGTTAGTAGACTCTGACTTACATTCAGGAAGCTGGGTTCCATAATCTGTGCTCTTAACCTTTTGAACTACACGCTTACAATAAAATGTGCTAAATCAAGAGATAAAATAAGCAGAGTGCTACAGGAAAAAAAGAGCAAAACACCTGCTTAGTCTAGAAGGGAAAAAGAAGATTTCACTGAGGAATTGTCATATGAGCTTAAACCTGAGTGCAGAATAAGGTGGCCAGGCAAAGGGGTTGGGAGAAAACTCCAGGCTGAGGAGACGCCTGTAGAGGGCCACAGACAGGTGCTGGAGCAAGAAAGTGAGTGCATGGAAGGGATTAATAGATGAAGCTGCAGAGATGGGCAGAGGCCAGTCATGGAGGGTCTTGCCAGCCATGTCAGAGAATTTGACTTGTATCCTAAAGGCAATGGAAACCACTAAAGCGTGGTTAGCAGGGGAGTGACATAATCAAATTTGTACTTTAGAAAGACAATTCTGTTGTAGAATGAATTCGATCTTGCAGGATTTTGTCTTTGCTTAGGTGTTTGTTTTGAAATATGGGGTTCGAAGAGTACAAGCCCGGAGGAGGGCAAATGATGGTGACCTGGGTCAGGATGGATCAGTGGAGATGGAGAAGGAAGTTCAGAAGAGCAGGCAGGCAAAAATACATATTCGGGAAAAGGCCGCAAAAAAATGCAACCAAAGCCAATGAAATCGCCCCCAGAAAAGCGCAGAGCCTGAGCACTGGAGAAGACCCAGGAGAGAAGAGATGGCGTTCAAAGATTGAGGCTTTTCTCAGCCTTTCCCAGGTGCTGTGATGTGGGAGGTTAGGGGAGACGCGGTGTGGAGAGGTGCGAGTAGCGGACGACAAATACCCACCAGAAGATAGTCCCGAACTTCATGTTCCTCCAGAGCTCCGTGAAGTCCTCAAAGCGCACGCTGTCCGTCTCCTGGAAGCGGCTGAGCAGTGCCTCGCAGTCTGTCTGCAGGCCTGGAGGGGTCCCCATGACTGCAAAGCCCGTATACACCGCAAGCGGTCAAGTCCCCTGCGGTCGCCGAGGAAACCTGGCCCGGATGCCCCACCTCCTACGATGTGACGCACACGCGCTCCGTGACGAGATATCCGGCCCCTTTAGCTCCGCCTCCTACCGGATTCGCGCTAGTGGTCAGGATACTTAGTGCGCGTGCGTGGACGCATGCTGTTATTACAAGTTCCTTTCTCCTTTACCTAGAGGATAAAGATAAGCCCTTTTAATTTCATTGAAGAGGTTTATATCTCAAGTGTCCTGTGAGTCCAAGAAGGGTTTTAGGTCTACATTAGGCTAAACTGGCTTTATCCTTCCCATCACTGCCCTTTGAAATGACCGTAGAGTGACGGAAGTCAACTTTTAGAGCTAGGGAAGAACAGAAGGGAGGAACCTACCCCTCATAGAAGGAAGATGAAAAGAAGGTTTGCTAAAAAATGGACTGGACTCATTCTCTTACAGTCCCTTAATATGGAGCTTAATGCGTGTCTCTCGTAGCCCTAGAAGTCTTCTGTAACCACTCTTGAGGAGCTCTTTTGTCAATATCGCACCACCACCCACCACTCCTACGCTACAAACTAGCACAGAAAGTATTTGCTTTATATATACTTACTGATTTTTTGGCTGAATTGGCTTTCTGTGTACACTCTACCTCTTAGTTTATCCCTGAAGCTAGATACGGAGTAGTATTTTGTACTTTTCAGCATTTCTCTGATTGCAGGGCACGCTATTTTTATTCTTTAGGAGAGTTATCCTAATAGAAAAGCATTGGGCTTTCTGTCTGTAGATGGAGATTCGACTCACTTAGCTTTCCTGATCACTGATCTATTTTTTTTTAATTTTATGTAATATTTTATATATACAGAATAACTTATGTAACATGTTTGAGATAAGCATAGCAGTAAAACGAACATCGTGTACGTTCTGTGTTGGAACCAGAACATCACCAACACTGTCACGTTGATCTATGAATTCCTCCTCTAATTTATTCCCCTGCCTCCACCACAACCTTAATAACAACTACCTTATTTTGTTTCTCATTCTCTTGTACATACTTTATCACAGGTGTATGGATCTCCAAACAATATATTGTTTACTTGTAGTTGGTTTTGAGTTTTATGAAAATGGTATTGCAATTTACAATATATATTCTTTGAACTGCTTTTTAAATTTAATGTTTCTAAGATTCATTTATGTTCTCACTCATAGCTGTAGCTCATTTTCAGTACTGCCTAGTATTCCTTTATATGAATATACAGTGTATGCATTATTTCCACAATGCAAATTTGGGTAGATTCCAGATTTTGCTATTATAAACAATGCTATGAACACTTTTACACATGCCTCCTCTTATTTGTAAGATTCTCAGATAAAGTATATGAGGCCCAATTAAATTTGAATTTCAGATCAAATTTAAAAGTTATTCATTGTTTATCTTACATACAATTTAACTAGGCAACCTTTATGTTTTCTAAATTTGGTAATTCTTTGTATATATTACAGCAGTCTAGAATATATCTACAAGTGGAATTTTGGATGATAATCGGTGCAAATGTAAAACTTTAAAAGATAATGTCAAATGGTTTTTCTAGAGTAGTTGAACTGATTTAAGCTTCACTATCAGTGAATAAAAGTTCCCAATTCAGCCATATCATTTCAGAACTCTAGTATTCAACTGTGGTCTTAATATACATTTCTCTGATTATTAATACAGTTGTGCATTTTCTCAAATTCTAATTTTTATTCATATTCCCTCTATTGTGAAATGCCTGTTTATATATGTTGTCCATAGTTCAAATGGGTTGGTTCGACTTTTTCATATTGATTGGTAAGATCACCTTATATATTCTGAATACTAAACTGTTTTATGTATTACAAATGTCTTTTCCCAGTTTGTGACTTATTTTTATTTACTATATTTATGGTGATTTTTGATATACAGATATTCTTATTTTAGTATGGTCAATTTTAAAATCTTTTCTTTTGTATCTTAAGGCCACAAGTATTTTCCAAATATTACATTTACATTTTCCCTATATTCCCAATATTACAATATATTACCTATATTTTCCTATATTACATTATTAATTAAGCTAACACCAATAGCACAACTAATAAACCTTGAATGCTCAGTGGCTTAATGCAAATGAATTTATTTTTCTTTCACATTAAGTTCAATTAATGGCAAGATGGGATGGGAAGGGTTCTACTGCAAGAAGTCACCTGGAGACCCAGGCAGATGCAGATTTGCCATCTTCACCCATTGGCTTTCAAGGCCATCTTGATCATAGACAGCTAACCTGTAGACAGGGGAGGAAAGAGAATGTGAAGGATTGAATGAGAGAACTTTATGGGCCATGTCTGAAATGGAATACACTCAAAGGGTGGTCTGCTGACCTCTGCTGGTCAGCAAACTCCATCACCCAGTAGTATGGCAACTAAGAATAAGTGTTTGTAAACTTTGAATAACAATTTAACGAAGTAATTTTATGTCTGTTGAATCTAATAATTTAAAAATGGGCTTATATTTGGTGTGAATTTTTAAATTTCAATTTTCTGGTAATTTATTTTTTAGTTTACAAAAGTACTGGTCTACAATAAATTGGGAAGAACTGGTGTACCATTTCAGTACACATTCAATTCACCAGAACTCAGTCACATGGCCCCATTTAGTGGCAAAGTGACCAGGGAAATGTAATCTCTAACTGGGAAACCTGCTCCCAGCAACAACTCCAATCTGTGGAAAAGGTGCAAATTTGTATCTGGGTTACAGATATCTATCTACTTCCAAGGGTCAATTTATATTTTACTACACTAATACCATACTCTAATGACAAAAGCTTTAAAAAATATCTAGGAAGGAAAGTTCTCTCATCTTATTTTTCTTCAGGAGTATCTTGACTATTCTTGGATTTCTCCTTTTTCATAGAAATTTTAAATTCAACTACTTGTCAAATTTCTCTAACAGTGCCTCTTGGCTTTTGATTGCATTAAATCTCTAAGTCAATTTGGGAAGGAATAACATCTTGATTATATTAAGTCTTCCTATTTATACATTTAAGTCATCTTCAATAAAGTTTTATAATTTTTCCCCAAGTACTTTTTACATTTCTTTTGTTGGATTTATTCCTATATACCTTGTTTTTCTATGGCTGTTGTATTTGGTATCTTTTACTTCCTTACATTTTCTAACTGCGGATTCTAATATATAAAAATGAAATCGAATTTTATATATTGATCTACTTACTATAACCAGTCCCCTTGTTAAATTCGTATTGATTATAAGTTTTTTCTATATGAATAATGTTTGCTTTTTCCTTCATAATCCTTGTTCCTTTTATTTCTTGTTCTCCTCTTATTTCATTTCCCAAGCTAAGACCTCCTATACTATGTGAAATATAAACATAGGAGAATGGGCATGTGTCTCTTCACTACTATACCACCAGCACCTAAAAGCGCTTAGTACACGGTAGATGCTCAATGAAATCTAGTGACCTTTTCGTTGTAGTTATTTTACTTTCCAATTCTGGAATTCCAATCTGACTCTTCATTAATTTCTATCTGTTTATATTCTGAATTTGATAAGCCAATGTCATCATACAGTCTTTTACATCTTTAAGCATGGTTTCCTTTGGTTCTTTAAACAAGATTTTTAATGGCCGATTTAAGTCTTTTTCTGTTAAGCCTGCCATCTGGACCATCTGATATATAATTGCTGCTGCCTGCATTTTTCCTGCTTATGGATCAAGCTTTCCTGTATCTTTTCATGACTCATAATTTTTTGTTAAAAATTAGACATTTTAGATAATTTATTGTAGCAATTCTGAATACTGAATCTCCCCACTGATCCCTGGGGCTTGTTGCTTTGTTGTTCGTTTGTTTGTTTAGTGACCCAGTTGGATTATTTTAGAGAAGTTTATTTCCCCCAGAGTGTACAGCCTGTTAAGTAGCTCTCACAAGGCACAGCCCTGGCTGTGCACAGTCACCCTGGGATGACAGTGGTTTTACTAAGGTTCTCTTTGGCTGCCTCTTTCACAGATCTCTCTTTGAAGCTGTCTGCCCCTGTGGGTGTCACATGCAGCTATCAGGGGTCACTAATTGCTGGTTGATTACTCTATTGTTTTGACAATGTTCTGTTAGCATGAATTGCTCCCACATTTTAATCCAATTACATTTAGGATCCTTTGCAGTAGCCGGTAAACTAGCTTGCCTACAGTTTGGCTTATTACTGTCATGGACTAACCAGTCTCCTTTTAATTACTTAGCACCCATTGTGTTCAAGAAGACCTTTATGTTTGAATTGTCTCATACTCTTACAAATAATGTCAGTTAACTCTGGAGAGAGCTTCAGAGTTCTCTGTTCTAATGGACTTTCCCTCTGAGGAAAATCTGAGTCACTGCTTCAGAGCTGGAGATGGGGACAGTGACCCATTTCTTTCAGAGGGAGACCCCTGCTTTACAAGCAGGGCTCTGTGAGGGGGCAGTAGCTCCTGTTCTTTTTGGGATACCTCTTCTGGCATAGAACTCTCATCTTACATATGAGCTGGGGTGATGATTGCAGTCCCAGCACTGTTGGCTGCTCACCTGGGATAGAGTGTCAGACAGTAAGAAAGGAGTTCTCAGTCTGCAACCTCCAGGCCATACTCACCTGGGATTTCATCTTTGCAACATGAAACTAAGGAGAATGAGAAATGCTGGCGTCCTGGTACTCCCAGGGAGATACCAAACCCAGCCCCTGGGAGAAAAAGCTTTGTAAAGTAGAACTGAGTTGTGAAATGAGAAAAGAATTAAAAAGATAAAGATGAGATAGGAAGAGGGCTACAGACACAGAAAAAAGCAGGTGCAAAAGGCACAAAAAGGCAAGAGAGCAGGTTAGGTGTTTATATCACTGGAGCACAGGATGCAAGGGAAAGAAGATATAGTATTTGGGAAAACAGGCAGATCTCAAGGCCTGGCATGCTTTGTGCTGGGAGATTTTCTCCCTGGATTTCTCAGTGTTCCTGCACATTCAGCGTTTTCTGAGCAAAGGATGCCTGAATATAAGTCCTAAAGATAGAACACTGTGAAGAGAT